CCCTTGTCCCTGGGTTTGTTGGCTCTCCCTCCCTTTCCCCACCTCCTCTTCCCTGTCCCCACTGGGAACCGTCAGTACCATTATTTTCTCCTCGGGATTGTTTATCCTGCCTATCTATATAGAGATTTTTTTTTTAAGCCCATAAATAGTTGAAGGTCTGTCTGCTGACCCTTATGAATGTTTTCTGATGGAGTCTGATGAGGTGTCAAGCCCTGCCTGCGAAGGTAGAAGTCTGTTCCTTGTTTTGCTCCCCTTACTGCCCTTGCAGTAAGCACAATTAGTTTTAGTACATCTCTATCTTGTTATTGTTCTTTTTATGTGTACCCTGTTATTGTTGTTGCTAGGCGACATCAGGTCAGTTCCAACCCATAGCAACCCTATGAGTAGCAGAAGGAAACAGTGGGCCCTCCTCACAGTCCTTCCTGTGCCTGAGCTCATGGATGCAGCTACGGTGTCAATCCATCTCTTGCTCGCTGCCCTTCCACCCTCTCTGGCCTAGTGCCTTCTCAGTGTTCTGCACGATGACATGGAAGTATGCAAATATTTCATAACCAAGTATGATGGTTGTATGATTGTTTGAGATATAGGAGCTGAATTAGCTACTTTTTTTTAGAGAGTCCATTTTGTATTTGGGGGGGGAAATGACCATAGCTATTCAGACTTGAGTGTTTGAATACAATGAACTAGAAGAGACTGAGAACAAGGAACATGCCCGGAAGTATTTGTTGCCAATGATAACCTCTGAGCCTTCCAGGAAAAATGATCAGCTTAGGAAATGCACCCACAGCAGTGAGCTTGAGAGCGTCTTCAAACTTTCCTGATGAGATCAATGACGGCTTTTTAAACTGTGATTATGTGGAATATTGAATTACAAAGCTTTGGGGAAGATCTGTGAAATTCAGTAAAACCAGATTTCAGATTCCCCAATGCAATCAACCTTTAAGAAGCTACCATTTATTAAGGCTATATCCTCCAATAAAGATTTACAGTGTCGGAAACTTTTAAGGAAGTTTTATTCTGCCCTGTAAGGTCACGGTAAATGGTATTCTACTCTATGGCTGTGTTGGGTATCAAAGAAGAATATTCATAATTACCTGATATTCTTCCCCCTTTTCCATCTATATATCTATAGGAGGTGGGATTTTCTTCATATGTTTCTAAACAACACAACTCAACAGCTATCGAGGAAGCAAACATGATAATCTATCAGTCTTCCATTACAAGGGACATCTAACACCCAAACCCACTACTATTGAGTTGATGCTGACTCACAGTAATCTCATAGGATAGAGTAGAACTGCCTTGTGAGTTCCTAGATTGTAATGGGAAAAGAAAGCCCTGTCTTCTCCCCAAGGAGCTGCTGACCTTGTGGATGACCAGATTGTAGCTCAAGGTGTCACGAACATTAACATGCAGTGATTTATTATTATTGCTTTGAAATGAATCAAGTCTTTTTTATACTTTTCTCTAGTTGTTATATCCCAGGTAAACAAAAGCTCTCTGGGGTCCTAAATAATTTTTATGAGTGGAAAGAGATCCCCAGGTATTATGTCAATGAAAATCACTCTCTTGAAACTATGGTAAGTGCTTTTCCATTTTTGGGGTATATAAAACCCAGGATTGATGAACCTAAAGTGGCAGCAAGGAGAAGGGGTTCAAGGGGAATAGGGTACAGTGGTGGGGTCCAAGGGAGACGATGTCAAGGAGTCCATGCAGAAAAAGAATTTTTGGAAACTGATTGTGGTAGTAATTGTACATTCGACTTGACGTGATTGAAATATGAAATGATATGATAAATGTATTAAATCCCCATGAAAACAAAGTGATCCTCAGGCCAAAAAATGTTTGAGAAATTCTCTTTGAGGTGGGGATGATTTCTGCTTTCTAAGTGAGGAAGCAGCAACAGAGATTTAGGCCATAGGATCAGTACACTGGGTGGGTACTGCAGCAGGTAGTCTAATTCCAATGCCATACATGACCTTTCTCCTGGTATTACCTTGGCTGAAATTATTTTTATACAGGATGTTAAAAAGCATTTAAAAACACCAAACCGAAAAAAAAAAACCCCATCAAACCGTTTTCATCACATCCAAAGGATATTTCTTTTCGATGAGCTGGCTGCATGATCCTTCCGTGAGCTTACTCACTTCCACTACCGAAACGTGTGAGCTGTTCAAATCCTGTTTTCAAGCGGTCAATCTGCGGTTTTACAAGAATCTGGGTTGGGAATCCCCCTGGAAACCTCCTCTGGGGAACTGCAACCCACACTGGGGACTCTTTCAAGACACAGCGCAGCTCCAGGAATGTGGGCGTTTTCTGGCCGGAACTTCCCAACTTCAAGGCTGCCCGCAGAAGAACGGAGAATGCTATTCACATCCTTCTCCTCCCGGGACCCGCTTTCAGCACCGGCTCCTGATTGGTTGGAAGCTGGATGCGGCCCGGGAGGACCGCGGAGCCCCTTGCCCTGCCGCTCACCCGGCACCCCACCCCACCGTCCAGCGCTGGAAGGGGGGCGACGCCGGGACCCACCTGAGGCCGGGAGCCGGCCAGGCTGCGCCGCGCGGCCCCGGCCCAGCGTCCCGCCCCTCGGGGGCGGGCCTTCCCGCGCCTCCAGGATTGGCGCGTCGGGAGCCGTCTCCCGTCGTGCACCGGGGCGCCGGCCCCTCACCCGGAAGGAGAAGCCCCCGCTCTGGGCCTCTGCTAAGGTGCCGCCAATGGGACTGCTGTCAGGTGAGGGGGCGCGGGCCCCAACGTCAGTCGTGGCGCTTGGGCCGAGGGCCTCGCTTGACGTCCTAGGAAAGGGTCGAACTTTCCGGATGGAGGCAGGGGCTTGCTCGGTACCCAAGGCAGGGAGCTCGGTTCCAAGTGCGATGTCTGTTTCCCTTCCCTCTCCCCAAGCCGACGAGGAAAAAAAGAAGGGACCTGTGGTGTGGCCGGTTTGCTTCGACCTAGTTAAGGATGGAGAGAAAACAGTCAGCGTAAAAGGGTTTGGGAACGTTTACCCAAACGGCTAGATTCCAGGGGTCAATGGCAAGTATTTTGCAGGACCCAGGAGGCTGCCACGCTAGATTACTGTGGCAATCTTTGGGGCTTACCTGGGATGGATCCCGTATGGGTTCCATCCCAGCTGCCCGATGGTCAGAGGGAGCGCTTGGTTGCTGTCACCGAGGTTGGCCAACCGAGGCAGCGTCCCCTAGTACCTGTGGCTGTCCCAGAAGGAGAGCATGTAATGAGCCCAGGGAGTTGCTGTTCGCTGCGGGCACTAAGGGCTCAAAGGAAGACTAAGAAGGGGTGGATGAGAAGCCCAATCCACTTGAACTACTCGATTGGTTTTTCACTTGACTTTGAAGTAGTCACAATGGGCGAGGAAATGATGGAGCATCAAGTCTTGCATGACTACTTTGAATTGTTATGACATGGGAAGGCTGGACAACTAATACACAGTAAACAACGGGGTTCTCTAGCTGGTGCAGGTGGAGAAAGTACAGGGCACTGGAGGTGTGATAACAGGGCCCACCGAGCCTGGCCTTATTTACATGACAGACAGACACACTGCTCCTCTGCCCAGACCAGAGAGCTCCATTTAAGAACTTCCTGCTTCCTTCCCAAGGGCACAGAAGGGAGCTGTTTGTTCTCCTGAGAAGTACTATCTCGGGGAGGATGCTGATGGAGAAGAGTAGCTACGGGAAATTATTAGATTCTCAAGTATGATGAAGTGTCAGTTTTGTTTCAGAGTATTCAGGGAAAGTTAGGATGGACACTGTTAGTGTCCTCTACATCTAGATTTAAGTATGTAGCTTCTCAGGGGCCTATGAATTTTATGCATTAGTATGGTTGTTATTTTTTGCCCTCAATTTTAAAAAGTAAATTTACAGCTGTTTGTTTCTAAGTGGTGCAGTACTCCCCAAAGAAAGAGAGGAACTTCGGCACAGTGGTATCCATGGTGCAGGGCCCTCAGCATGCTCTTCTGGAGCCGGCGAGGAGGACCAGTCAGTCACTAAAGTGGGGTCTTTCAATGTCCACCATGTTTGCACTCCCCTGCGTGTGTGGATGGCTATGACCTGCTTCTGAGAAAAGACCATTTAGGAAACTGAACTTGGCTCCGGAGCTGGCCATTTACCAAATGCCTGAAAAGATAAGTGAAAAAGTAAAGGGAGAGGGGAAAAAAAAGCCAGAGCGATGAATGGTTCACAGCAAGACTTCCTGCTCTTCTGTTCCAGACCTTAGGCTGCCTCCTTCTGGGAGGTTAGATATCTATTGTTAAGGAATTAGAATCTCCTGTTTGTGTTCTCCAACCAGTGAGGTGGTGGCTGCATCAGAGAGAAATCAGATTGTCAACCAGGATGCTGTTTGAGAGAAGGTTGTGGTATCACAAAACCTTGGGTTTGCCCAAGGTCCTGTGTCCTGTGCTATGCAGCTATGGCTCTGCCCTGCCTGCCGTGTCGGTCTGTGGAGAGACCTTCTGGTATATTGGAAAGAATTGGGAAGCTGTTTGCTCTGCTAATTTTGTGGTGTAAATGAGTTCCCCTTCTCTTGAAACGTTAGCCTTGTGTTAGCAAAACATAAAATAGAGGGAAACTCATTACACACTCTGTTAATGGTGAGGCAGAACTAATAAGCGAATGTGTTTAAAATTAATTGTGAGACTGTAAAAATGAGTGGGTGTGTGAGAGGGGGTCGGGAGGGGGAGGAGAGTGAGAGCTTAGAGATAGTCTTGTTTTCCCAGGAGCCGGCCCGGATCATTTGTTGGCAGTACATATTGGCTGAAGTCAGTTTTCATTTCAAGGTAAATTGGAAAGGGAAATTAAAGCTTATTGTTCCGCTCTTAAGAGAGGAGAAGGGGGTGGAGGCAGCAGCCGGGTGCATGCCGTTGGAGTGGTTCTAGAAGTAACAAGATTAGTGCTGTATTTTAACAGAAGGTGACATCATGGGCCCCCTTGGACTTGAGTAACCCTGTGTTGCAGCCTTCATGGTCCCCTTGTTGGAGTGGGCGATGTCACTGCACATGTAAACTGCCACACTGGGGAAAATCAGGGGCTTAGGCTTTAATGAATCTTTACAAAGGAGCGGAAAGCGGCCTGAGTCGACCTGTGCAGCTGTGGGGCTTGGGAACCGAGCAACCGTGGAGAGAAGAAATGATTTGAACCCTGGGCTCGGAATCCAGAGAGTGGGAAGGTCGAAAGCAAAAGCAGGCGGCCCACTCCGGTGTTCCCCAGAGGGCCCCCACACTGTGAGTCACCTGTGGGAAGGAGGCCCTGCTGAGCCAGACAAAGAGATTGAGGCACGGTGCTTGTGGGAGTTCGGCTGTTTCTGAACCGCCAGGAGGGGGCGATGTTAGACTCGAATTTAAAGTTGTGCCCATCAGGCTCTTCTGTGCCCGTAGCCTGCCAGGCTTAGAAGAAAGGTTGTACAAATGAGCCTGGCTGCCCTGGACAGATACGCAGTTCAGACCCCAACATGCTTTGGGCCAAAGTCCTTTGGTAAGAGTCTTGGATCTGAGAACTGAGGCAAATGCCCCAGGGCTTTTTGCTTACCACTGAACTAATGCAGGGGATTTTTTTTTTTTTTTTGCTTCCTCTTATTATTATTTTTTCCACAGAAGGGGGAAAAAATGGCCTGGGTTTCCCCCAGGAGAATCTATTTAAAAAACGTAAAGGTTTGCCCTGGTAACGAGTGCTCAGAATAGAGAATCGCTTCTCGGCCTTTTGGCTAAGATCAAGTGCAGAGTAGAGAGAGGCACACTAACCACACTGTTTGTGCCCCTTGTCAGATGATGCTCTCTTCCGATGGGCGCCTGGTGTAGGATGTTGGAGACCCACGAGCAGGAGGTAAGCGGTGGTCTGAGTTGGAGGGGGACTGGGGAAAGAGAAGGCACAGAAACGTGAGGTCATTGTGCAGGACCACTGCCCACACGTGTGCCCGGCGCCGCAGGTGCGTTCCAGCTGAAGTCAGGAGCAGAGACATTGCTGGGAAACGAGATTCTATTTTGACTGGCTTTTCCCACTGGATAGAATGTTTGAGAATGTAAGCTTCATGAGGGGAGAGGTTTTTGTGTCTTGTGCACACTCTGTCCCCAGGGGCTAAAACAATGCCTGCCATGTATTGGCTGCGTCGTAAATATTTGCTGAATTGGATGTGTGGATGAAAGTAAGTAAGTAATTAAATTGGTATTGTCTGATTGAAAACATCTGTGACTGGTGTTGTTGCCATGTTGTCATAGTTACCTGGCAATGAAACTTGAGCCAAAGCTGAGGTGGACTTTCTTACCTATAGGAGGTGATCACTGTGCGAGTTCAGGACCCCCGTGTGCAGAATGAGGGCTCTTGGAACTCTTACGTGGATTATAAGATCTTCCTCCATGTAAGTGCATCAAGCTTCAGCATTGGGCTCAGCATCCTCTGGGGCTGAAGGCTAGTGCCGAGGCCGAAAAATTGTGGGTGTGGGTGTGTCTGGCGGGCTGGAGATTGACAAAAGACAAGGAGGGGGAAGAGAAACAAGCTCAGGGTATACATGGTTGCACCTGCTCTAGTTTGACCCCCTGGTTGGGGAGGTATGGGACTGGGGGGCTTGAAGCCTCGGGGAGGCTGATGATGGAGAGCTTGTGTGAGTGGTCCCTTTTCACTCACCCCCACCTCCCCTGTACTTGCTCCCGAAGACCAACAGCACGGCCTTCACTGCGAAGACGTCCTGTGTGCGGCGCCGCTACCGAGAGTTTGTGTGGCTGAAGAAGCAGCTGCAGAGGAATGCGGGTTTGGTGTGAGTGTGCCTCTCTTTCCGAGAGCCGAGCCTGCCATTTGGAAGCGTAGGAATGGCAGCTTACCACGAAGAACGTTGGCAACGTGTCAGGCATTAAGGAGATTGGGAAATATGTTCTTAAATTATGTTTCCAAGTCAGTGGGTGAAGTAATGAGGGCGTTCCCATTTCTAGTTGTTAGACCCAATGAAGCCACATGACACATCAAAAACAGAAGGGGGGGGTTGTAGAAAAGTGGAATTGAGTTTTTTGGAGGCCTCCCCCTCACCCCCTTTCGTTTTTTTCCCTTTTTGACTGTGCATGCTTCCTGGGACTAACCAGATGTACTGCTAGCATTTCAAATGTGTTTCCTGCTGGTTGGTGGAAATGTTTAAGAAGGGCAGTGCTACTCTTTCTCATCCACACCCCCAAATAAGTGGAGGGAATTAGAACAATGACTGTACCTTGGGAGGGTCACTAGGTGTGGCCATGGTGGTGGAGTGGCCTAGCCAGTTAGTTAATGGGGTGACGGAGCCTCATAAGCCAGTTGACCCCCTCAGTTCCTCCGCAGATCCTGTAGCCTCTAGCCCAGCCTGTAAGAAAGCAAACAACCCCCACTGCCATCAAGTCAATTCCAACTCACAATGACCTTCGAGGATAGGGAAGAACTACATCCCATGGGTTTCTGAGGCTGTCAGTCTTTACTAGAGCAGAGAACCTCCTCTTTCTCCTACAGGGTGGCTTTGGATCTGAACCACTGACCTGGTGGTTAGCAGCCCAACGCATAACCCACTACGCCCCCAGAGATCTTTGCCTATCCTGGAGTTTTGTAAGAATATGTACTGCGCTTCTTCAGAAGGGCCCTGGTGGCGTAGTGGTTACGTGTTGGGCCAAGCTCCGCATGGCGAGCAGTTTGAAACCACCAGCAGCTCTGAGGGAGAAGGACTGGGCTCTCTAGTCCTGTAAGCAGTTAGTCTTGGAAACCCACAAGGGGTCGCTGTGAGTCAGCATTGACTTGATGGCAGTGAATTTGGTTCTGCTTTTGGTTTTTTCACTTCTTAAGGTTCAGTGAAATAATGTTTCTAAAACACTTAGCATAACTGCCTGGCATAGGCAGTCTGTAATCTATAAATATGACCATTCTCACCTTATTAGTAGCAAAGTGCATTCATTTCTCCGGGTCTCTTTTTCCGGGCTTTCTTCCATCCGGGACTGGGATGGGTCTCTTGGGCGTTCGTTATCCTTGGTGTTCCATTATGTGATCCCCACAGGCCTGTACCTGAACTTCCCGGGAAGTCCACCTTCTTTGGCACCTCTGATGAGTTCATCGAGAAGCGCCGGCAAGGTCTGCAGCACTTCCTTGAAAAGTGAGTGGATGTGTGGGGCCAGCACTGAGGGTCCCGGGCAAGGGTGGAGGGGTCCTGTCCCACACAGATGGGTCTGGGGTAGGCGCCTTTCTCCAGAAGGCCCTCAGGGGATGGGCTGGACAGCCACTCCTCAGGGTGACCCTCTGTGCCGGGCAACCTGTGTCTTCCCCAGGGTGTTGCAGAGTGTGGTCCTCCTGTCAGACAGCCAGTTACACCTCTTCCTGCAAAGCCAGCTCTCAGTGCCGGAGATTGAGGCCTGTGTGCAGGGCCGGAGCCCCATGACGGTGTCAGACGCCATTCTTCACTACGCCATGTCCAACTGCGGCTGGGCCCAGGAGGAGAGGCAGGCCTCTTCTCAGCTGGCTAGAGGAGACCCGCCTAAGAGGTGACGGGGCTTTCTTTTTGAGACATGAGGGCTAGGGTTGCTGCAGCCCGGGCCTGTGGGACATCCACTTGATAGGGGACGGGGTGTCGGAGAGATGGTGGCATCTCCGAAGATGCTTCCGCTGCCATGTGCATGGTGGGCCTGTGGGGACCCCCTGTGGTAGAGGAATCCTTATGAAAACCTGGGGAGAGGCGGAGGACAGTAAGGCTTCGTTATTCCTTTCCTTGAAGCTTTTTTTTTGTTTTAGTAATAGTCATATTAAGATATAATTCACATACCCTAGAATTCACCTTTTTAAAGTATGTCATCTTTTTGAAAAAAAAACATTTTATTGGGGGCTCTTACAGCTCTTATCACAATCCCTACATCCATCCATTGTGTTGCACACATTTGTCCATTTGTTGCCGTCTTCATTTTCAAAACATTTTCTTTCTACTTGAGCCCTTGGTGTCAGCTCCTCATTTTTCCCCCCTTCCTCCCTCACCCCTGATAATAAATAGAAGTCATCTCTAGTACAGCCACCAAGTTGTACAATTCCTCCCTCACCCCTGATAATAAATAGAAGTCATCTCTAGTACAGCCACCAAGTTGTACAATTATCACTCAGGACAAACCTTTGTAGCACGTTGTTATCTCCTCCAAAAGAACCCCTCATAACCACTGGCAGAGGACCCCTCTCAGCCCCCTCGCCCCCAGCGATCACTGACTTCCTGTCTCAGGCTTGACCTATTCTGGACATTCAATGTCAATGTCATCAGAGACATGTGGCTTCTCTCATTTCAGATTATGTTTCCAAGGTTCCGCCGTGGTGTCACTGGTGACTATCCATCCGTCATTTTCTGGCAGGGTCCGTTTCGGGGGTGGGGGATGCACCACCTTCTGCTGACCCGCTTTCACTTACCCCCCCTTGCCCTTCCTTTTCCACGCTTTTCCAGTTGTTGCTTCCTCCCAAGATCTGGTCGGAGGAGCTCCTCCCCTCCGCCTCCCAGTGAAGAAAAGGACCGTGTAGAAGTATGGGCTCCGGCAGTGGACTCAGAGGCCCCTTCCTTGGAGAGCCCCGCTCTCCCAGCCTTCTCGCCACCATCACACTGTGATTCTGCATCACCCGAAGAGGCAGCCTCTGCTGCCGATCCAACGAGGGGGATCGTGGGAGGGGACCCGTCAGCCCCGTTGTCTCGTGCTGTGCCTTTGGCCCCTGGTCGGTTAGAAACAGGGCTGGAAAAATGAGCACTGGTTCATGTTCGGGGTTCTGCTCTCAGGAGGGTGGAGAAGGTGCATGGGTGGGCATGGGCACGGGCACAAGGTCATTGGGGAAGGTTGGACTGCTTAGTCCCTTATCAGCCCAGCTGGGGTTGGTGGCCCAGAAGTCTGTCCGGACAGCTCCTTGTGAGTCCCCCACATAAGTGGCCACAGGATAGGCATATTCTAGGTTAAGTGTGAGGCCCCGGAGCTGTTGATTTTCCACAGCTCCCCCTATTTACTCTCTTGGGAACTGAATTCCCTCAGGAGCTCTGCCTCAGGTGACTGGTTTGGCGTCTGCCACGTGCAGTATCATTCGACCTTGCAGGAATGCAGATGTCATCTACCCCGCTCTAGCTGGCCTCTGTTCTTTTCCGCCCTGAGAGCACTTTGCTCCTGGGAGGCCCACCTCTTGCTACCTCCCTGCTTGGACAGACTGGTGAATCCTTTCGCCTTCCACCACTTGCTTTCCTCACAACACTCCTAAATGGAATTGGGGCTCTCAGCCTGTCCCACGGAGGCTGGGGCCTGGGGCTCACTGAGCTGCTCACCACCATCCCTTGCACAGAAGAGCCTGCTGGGAAAGGTGTGCTCTCCAACCGGGGCTCAGAGGCTTTGTTTTGGGAAAACCACCTGGGGCCGTTCCAGTAGCTTCATACTGCAGGGAGACTCTGGCTGCCGCCTCTGAGTTAGAATGGGCGCCTCTCTTTTAAGAATCTTTTCTTTTCCAGTAATGACAGCTCCCTGCCCATGGGGCTTCCACGGCCTGTGCCCCTCTGCTGTGTTCTCCGTGTGTCCGCCTGTGGGGGACCAGGGCTTTGTTTCTGCAGATGGAAATGAAAAGCAAGGGCCGCCTTCAGACAATGAGGCGTCTTGGCCTCCTGCTGCAGCAAGCCTCCCACGGAGCCCGGGCTGGTGGGAGAGCTGAAGCCAGAGGCACCCCTTGCCTGCCCGAGCAGAGCGGCCTGCCGGTGCGGTGCCACCTCCGGGGTGCACTCCCAGCCTGCGCTGCGGCTCTGCCATGGCAGTTAGTTCAGAGTTGAGGGGCTTTGGCCTGAAATAAAATTCAAGTATTTAAGAGTGTTGTTGCAATTTGTGTCTAACAAGCTGTAGCCGAGAAGGAGGGAGTGAGGGCTGGCAGTCGTTACTTTCCATAAATCATGAATTTATCAGCATGGAAATAATGGCGACGCGCGACTCCTGCATTGCGCGCAGCCCGAGCAAGCTCACCGCCGGGCAGGCTGGCTTCGCCCAGTGCCCGGCCCGGCCCAGCTCGGCTCGTGGGCGCGGCCCGGAACCTCGTTAGGTATAATTTACCTGCTGCTGCTTCCAGCCTCGCCGCCTGTCTGCGGTGCCAGGTGCTGAAAGAGAAATAAAGTTTGTCAACAGGCAGATGCAGCGCCCTGGCTGGCACGCGTCCCCCCTCCCCTGCGCCTCAGCTTTATCCGAGGCGGCGGCGGAGCACCGGAGCACGGCGCGGCCCGGGAACCCACAGAGGCAGATCCAAAATGTCAAAAGAAGTTCATTTAAAAGGGGGGGAAAGCGCCGCACACAACCCTCACAAAACACCCGACAGATGCTAAGCTAATGGCATCCGCTCCGCCGATTGGTGGGGATGGTTCATGAATATTAATGGGTCCAATGCTCCAAATGGTGCAGCTGTGAACCCAGCTGTGCCTGAAGCTCTCTGATCTCGAAACTTCCAGACAGGAGCCGGAGGTGGTCTGTGTCAGTTCCCTACTCAGCCAAAAAGCAGCAAGCCGGGCTGCCCTTCGTCTGTTCTCGCTGCCTGCCTGCCCGGGGTTGGGGCTCAGCAGCTTCTGCCAACCGGGTGGGCTGCTGGGACAGCAGGAGACATGGGAGCGGGGGTTTCTGACGCCTTTTTTAATGATCCATTGGCATTAGTGCATACATCAGCACCGCGGTCGAGCCGAGGCTAGGCCCCCTCGCAACCTTGAACTGAGGGGAGTCAAGTCCGGGAGTGGCCTGGGCAGGGGAAGGCTTGCTAGTACATGAGCATGTTTTCGAGGCCCGCCCGAGTACCGGGCACCTCCAAACCCAAGACTCCTTGACTCACGGAACTAACTCACCCACCCCCACCCCCCGCCCCCCAGAGCTCCACTGCTGTAGTCCTTTGGTTTATTTTCTGACTGCTAGGGGCTCCCCTGGTTCTGGGCCTCCCAGGCACGCCCTGCCCTCTCTGGTAGCTTTGCCTGGGGGTGCTCATGACTTGACTGGGCAGTAAAGTAGCTCTCTGAAAGTGAACTTGTTTATAGGCCTCAGCTCTTGCTGAATCTTTTTAACACTCGAGGGCCCAGCAGAGGCACAGTGGCGTGGGTGGTAGGAATGGAGCCAAACCAGCCCCCCAGCCTGCCTCAGAGGCTGCAGGAGCATGAAATCAATCGGGGGGCTGGCATGGCATCTGCGGATTTATGTGCAAGCAGCCAGCTGAGATGCTGTGAAAGCCAAGCAGATAACCACTGTGGTGCGAGATGGTTGCCTCCTCAGTCAACCTCCGGGCACTGATCCTAAGCCGCCCTCTCCCTGGCAGCCCCCTCTGTCAGCGTGGGGTCATCGAGGTCACAGCCAGGTAGCCTGGTTCAAGGTAACCTTCATGGACGGACTCCAGTGCACCACTGAGCTTCACTGGGGACTTCTCTACCAAGCCCGCCTGCCCTGGTCCCTCGTTAGAGAAATACCTTCTAGGGAGAGCCGCCTCAGTCAGCCAGGGTTGGATTTGGGACCGAAAAAGTGGAGACCTCAAATCTCAAGATTATCATAAACATGAAAAATGCATGCTCCGAAGGATACCAGGAGCCTCACTGGGGGAGACAGAGCTCCCGGCTCCACCAGCAGCTGCGTGAATAGTTCAACTCCCTTGTGCTCAGGGAAGAGCCGGTTAGCTGGTGCAGGAGAAAGACAAAGACAGGGGAAACAGTCCCAGTGAACAGGGGCTGGGCCAGGAGGACGCAGAGGGAGATGCTAACAGTGGGAGGAGTGTGAGACTACCCAGAAGTCCTTAAGGAGGGGTGGGGCGCGGGGAGGAACTCAGACACGCTCTGCCATCTCCCGGATGATGGGAAGTCACCAGTCGAGATGTCTTACGCATGGCTCTCAGGTTCCTCCTCCTCCTCACTCTTCAGCACATGTTCAACCATCGGTTTTGGAGGGGCCTGCTTGTGTTGAACCCACAGATCTCAAGTCCACAGTGTGGCCTGGCCCTGGCGGCCATGTTGGTGCGGGAAGTCAGGCCCACCAACAACCTGACCCTAATCCACCCCCGGAAGAAGGCCCAGGATGCTGAGCACCCGGGGTGGTTTTTTGGATGGAGGCATTGCAACCTGCCTGCTCTAAGCTACGAGACTTAGATATATTCTACCAATTAGGGCACATCTGTTCACACTGCAGAAAGGCGGGCACTGTCTCTTTAAGAGCCATCCCACTCCTCTCCTTGAGTGATGAGGGCTGGGAGCACAAGGGAGTCAGATGCTGATTAAACAGTCCTACTGCTGAGCTCTGTTAGAAAATTACTGTAATTATGATCTAGTCCCAGCAGAGGGATGAGTTCCAATCCTGCTAATAACCCTTCCAGGTGCCTCCGACTCTGGGGCCCGTGGGAGGCAGCAGCGGCAGGGCTCTGGCTGGCTGGCACCCAGGCCACAATGGCCTTCCTGTCTGGCCCGATCAGGGAAGGACAACAAAAACGCTGGGCCTGCACCCTTTCTTGGCCTCCTCCGAAGGCGGTGGGTTGGTTCTGGTTTTGCTTCTCCAGAGAGCTCCCGAGAGTCGTTTTGAACGAGCCGGCACCTCCCAGCAGCAAGAGCATCACAGCAGTGAGATGACAAGTTGGTCCTGAACCTCCCACTCCGGCCTGGGGAGTGCTGCCGCCGGCACGGGCCATGCAGCGGACACATCCCGTCCTGTGAGGCCGAGACCAGGGCAGCCCCCTCTGCTGTTCTACCCATGCCACCCAAGGCTGCCTGTCCCGAAACCGTGCCCGGCACGTCCCTGGGTCCAGACCAAGGGTCTTCCTTCTTCCCGTTTAGATTTCGCTTGCTGCCATCAGAAGGGGGCTGAGGCCTAGGAAACAGCATAGAGTGCAGGTCTAGACTCTCCAGCCCCGCGCTGCTGCAGCCTTGCTAGAAACAAACAGGTGTGGTTGTGTACAAACAAACACACCATTTTCCTGGTCTGTGCCTAAGAGCCGCGGCGGCACAGGTGTGCGAATCTGAGATGGTGGCACACAGGCCGGCTTCTCGAGCCCAGCTGGAGTCAGGGCGTTTATATCTATCTGCCCAACCCAGCCTTAAGGTACTCCTTACCACCGTCACCATGTGGTTAAGGCACACACTTCTAGAAGACCCTAAACACCCCCCTTAGGAGAGTTTTGCTCCCCAGAGGTAAGTCCGGCAACGTGGGGAGACATTCTTGGTTAGCACAAAGGGAGGAGGGGGTTGCTACTGCATCTTGTGGGGCGAGGCCAAGGGTGCTCTCTAGCCTCAAATGGCAGCAACACAGAGGCTGACACAGCATACTGAAGGATGTACTCCAAGTTCTGCCCACTACGCTTCCCCTGTGCCTCCTTGGAGAGGTCGAAGGGATGCTCTGGAATCTCCAGGTGCCCATGCTTTCTTTCCCAGAGGTGGGATCTGCTAGTGACAGGCCTGGCATGGGGGCCCTTCCCAAGGCAGGCAGCATGGCTAAACAGGAAGTGCTCATCGCCGCGCCCCACCCCCGCTTTCTGCTCTTTGGATCACAGGCGGAGGCATAAAAATCGGGCAGCTGTTTGTAGGTGGAGTGTCTGCATTGGAACCAGATGTCCAGTTGAGGACCAGCACTGGAAACCTCTTGGAACTCCCTCCTGTCACAGGAGGCAGGCAAGTGGCATACTCTCACCCCGCGTTGTAGAAATGCTGCCTTCAGTGGCACTCTGCCAGGTGGAGGGCCAGCCGGCTGTGATGGGGCCCCCTGGGGGAACTGAACACACACAGCTGCTGACAGCAGGCCAGCCCAGGAGTGGCTTGATGCCAAAGGCACCAGGCCTCTCAGAATGGCCTGGGCATCAGGAAAAGAAAGCCCAGTTGGCAGGGTTTGCCCAGGAACCAGGCCTCCATGGGAGAGGACTTCATTAACAAGGATGGTGCCAAGCCGCCCCCCAGGAGAGTCAGGGAGCCTCTCGGTCTGCTCTTCAGGGGCCGGCGACCATATTTTTATCTAGTTTGTAAAGTGACCACTTTTTGGGGGGGGGGGGTTGCACCCTTTCTTTCAATCTTGAAAACGTCTCCCTTTGGAAAATGGAGGCTATTGATTTGTGCCTGCTAGTCGTGCCCCGGTGTCTTCTCATGCGGGTTTTTGGTTTCTTGTTTGGGACTATATTTAGAAAAGGGACTTTTCCCGCAGAATGAGCAACATCCCAAAATGTACCATTCGTTGGTCGAGTCTCAACATTCGTTGCGTCTCAAAGGAGCCCTGGTGGCGGAGCGGTGAGGGACCTGCAGGGCTCTCACCGACATGAGGCCCTTCTGCTCCCGCAAAGATTGACAGCCTCAGGAAAACAGTTATTTTCACAACTAGACTATGTGGACGTTAAGCTGACGAGGAAAGGAAGCAGAACTTTCCAGCCTCAGAAACCCACAGGGGCAGGTCTCCTCGCCCTGCCGGGTGGCAGGAGATCCAAGTCAGCAGTGGGTGAGGCGTTGCACGAGGCGGAGGATTCAGTCAAGAGGGGAAAACACAGAAACGAAATGTGTTTTCTGCACAGTTAGTTTGTTGATAGGGAAATTGGGAGCATACTTGAAATCCCTTGAAAAAGAAAAAAATCCCTTTTTAGTTGTAAGTTTCAAACTCCCTACCCAATCTCTAAGTTCTACTGGGAAATGAAATAGTGAGGCAGGAGGAGGGACTCTGGGATCCACAAAGTAGAAAATTAGTCGTAGCCACTGGGCTGTCACAGGATAGCCCTCTGTAGAGAGGCCTCCTGGTTGTCAAGGGTGTGCTGGGAATTAGCGACTGAACACCCAGTGACTTCTCGAGAGGAGTCTGGAGACACCAGATGACAGTCAGAGGCAGTGACAGTCA